AATTGCAGAGGTTATGAAGAACAAGGGTCAACACTGGTAAATATTGACTCATTATATTTTTTTGCCAATAAAAGCCTTTAAAACTTATGATATACTTATTGTTTTTCAGTATACCATAGAAACATGTGGAAAAATAATCTACAAATACTGAAGCAGCAAACTTTACAAAACACAATGTATGTCACTGCCATGACTGTACATGTTATATTTCAGAAGCTAAGAATACAGTTGGATATAAGGCCTTCTTACAGTATTGAAGTTGAGATTGTCTCCTGTGTCTCCAGAGCCACGGTACAGAGGACTGTTGTGCCCGGTGACACTTTCCCATGAGCCGTGGAAGTCATAGGTCATCACATTAATGAAGTCCAAACACCTGCATTACCAGAAGGCAAACGCAAGTTCAGAGTCATCAGTTCAGACTTAAAACATTCAAGCAAATAATGAGGCAGATTGTGTGGGTCTTGGCCAGACTACATATTCATTTGGTTCATATTCATTCATTTAAAAATTCTGCAGAAGACATACTTGGCAATTTCTGCAATTTCATAACCAGCATCAATGGTTCCTTTCCCAGCAGCCACTGCAGCAGTGAGCATGAGTCTGGGGCGTCCAGTGGCAGCACTCTCTGCCTCGTAAGCTTCCAAGAGCTCCTGTTACAGTCAAAGTAAATTATAATGAAACAATTTTGAATCTGGGATTCAAAATCTAATATAAATCTGGAAATAAACTAAGTTTTTGGATTTAAATTTTTTTTAAATGTTATGAGGTAAAATTAATAAGACATATTTCACATTTTACACTATTTCTAGGCCATTTATCAATTTATTAAATTTGTGGCATTGATCATGACTCTTTTTACAGATGGTCAGATGTTTTTCTTTCACTGAAGCTCAAGATGCTCAGCCCCCTTGAGGTCTAAAACAAACTTGTGGAGTTCAAATACTTAAAAAAGAAAATAATAATTTCACCGGTGGATTTGTGTACATGCATAATCATTCTTTCTCTGATTATCGATTATCTTTATTGTTTTTTACTTAAGCATTCAACCATGCTATCATCTCATCCTGTAAACACCATAATTTAGATTTTAAAAACTACTGTATTGTGTAAAAAAAATCTGTAAATACTGCAGTACCTTGCAGAGCAGAGTGAACCTTTGCTTGTCTTCTGAAGGACTTCCACGGGAACCCGGATACTCCCAGTCCAGATCCAGACCATCAAAGCCATGTTTCCTCAGAAATGTGATGGAGGACTGAATAAACGTCCGCCTGTTTGCTGATGTGGACACCACGATACTAAACCTGACGAGAAGTTCCATGAAGATGAAATAAACAGTTATGTTTAACACACATCCTTCAAAATTTTGTGTTTTAAGCAGAATTCATACTGTTCTGTGCCAAAGTTCCATCCTCCGACAGCCAAGAGAGTTTTCAAGCTGGGATTTCTGTCAAGTCAAATATTTGTATCATTATTCGCTGTAATGTCTCTGACAAATTATCACTACACTCTTAAAAATAAAGGTTCCAAAACAGGGTGTTCACAGCGATGCCATAGAAGAACTTTCAGTGAACAGTTCTTAAAAGAACCGTTTTTTCTTAGTGTGAAGAACATTTTAATAATCTAAAGAACCTTTTTGAATGAAAACATGGATGGTAAAGGTTCTTTGTGGAACCATTGATGCCAATAAATAACCTTTATTTTTAAGGGTGTCTTCAAAACTACAAAATGCATTCACAAACAAAACATCAGATAGCACATACCTTTCCTTTAGTCTATTGAAAGATTTGAAGAGAGATTCATCATTCCATTCAAAAGTGGTCAACTCATTTGCCTTATTAATAACGGAAAACGCATAAATTAAATGAGTGCACAGATGTGGATCCACATTTTCTGGCATGTACTTGCCAACATCAGGTCTGTACTGAGACCAGTTTGTGAAGTAGCATGCCAGTTGGGAGGCCCATCCTGAAATACATAATACATACATTTATAATCTAACATATAGTAATATAATATACAATTATTACATTTATAATTACATATTATTAAAAGCAATTATTATTATATTTATTATTTCCAATACCCTACATAAGAAAAGTGGTTTGCAGAATGGATAATTATTAGAAGTAGTATATAGTGATTTTTGAATATAGTATTTAGGAATGAAACAACAAATTAAAAGAAAATTACCAAAGTGACACAATGCCAGGGAAAAGCCTGAAACAAGATAAAAAGAAATGTTAACATATAAAAGACTCCAAGGCCATCACGCTCTTAAAAATTCATTCTGTAAGATCAACAATCCCTTACCAGCTAGAAGAAAAAATGTGGACATCATAATGTGATGGTCATAGGCCTATCAGTCAAGAAACTCTGTCTGCTGTATGAAAGACAGAAGTTATCATTTATATAACCCCCAACACACAAAACTCCTAGCATAATACCAATGATTAACCAAAAACAAGAACACACATTAATTTCCCTAAAATAACTGTTCCCTGTCATCTGCCCTGGATGTTATCACACAATACATTACATTATAACAGTCTTAAGGTTTTGTACATTCTGATTGTAGGAGCGTTTGGTCCGAATATTAAAGGGGTCATATGATGGTGCTAAAAAGAACATTATTTTGTGTATTTGGTGTAATGAAATGTGTTTATGCGGTTTAAAGTTAAAAAAACACATTATTTTCCACATACTGTACATAATTGTTTCTCCTCTATGCCCCGCCTTTTAGAAACGTGTCGATTTTTACAAAACTCATCGGTATGAAAAAGCAAGGTGTGCTCTGATTGGAAAGCTATCCAGTGCGTTGTGATTGGCCGAATACCTCAAGCATGAGACGGAAATGTTACGCCCCTCACCATACTGTGATGGCGTGTCCCAGCCGGAGCGATGACACAAAAACATTAAAACCCACTACAAACGAGGCATTTGTTGCATCCACTGGGGACATAATTGCTGATTATAATGACTTATATTGTCTTTTTACGCGTTGCATTGCATTGCATCGTGCCGCGTAAACAAAAAACCCTGTCTGCATTTGTGATCACAGAAATGACAAACAACAAGTGCTACTCTACTGCCCAAAACTCACATTTGAATCATCTGTGGCAAATGATAAAATAAAACGTACTTACATGAGTCAGAACTGCCGGCATTTTAGTCTAATGTTACTCTCCCAGGATCAGTAAACAGTCCTCCATAAAATGTGCCGGCGATCCACAGCACTAAGTTGATGTATTCCCTCAGCGACCAGCACGGATCAGCTCCAGGCATGACGAAGCGGATATCGTCCTCTTTTGGAAGACCAAACAAAGTAGTTTCACTTTCACAACGAAGCACACAGCGTCTTCACAAAATGGCGGCAGCAGCAACAATACTACAGCGAGAATAAAAGTTATGCCTTCTTTCTTTTTCGTGAACATTTGGGCGGCGTTATGCAAATCTTCCCACATAGTGAGGTAGATATGTGGGGGCATGTTAGAACGAGCCATTTTAGATAGGTGTGACTCTTAACTTTTATAAAGAATATCTCTTTGGATTTGGGACTTTAGTCTTTGCAAATTTACAGATCTTCTTTATGCACCAAGAGCTTGTAACACTCCAAAGAGAAAGGAAAAAATGAAATCGCATCATATGACCCCTTTAAAATAAACGTATTTGGGTTAAACGTTTTATAAGAAATGTTCTGGTTACCTTTAAATAACATTCTAATCACGGCAAGAAAACTGGACATTTTAATGATCTTAGAATATAAAAAATAAACATTCAATTATTATATTTTGGGTGAAAATAAGCTCAGTAGAACATTGTGCGAAATGTTTTTGTAACCTTTAAATAATGTTCTAATCAACATTTTTCAATATTTCAAAACATGTTCCCATAATATTTGTATAACCTAAATTTGTTACCAAATTCAAAATGATGAAAAGTGTTCATTTCTATCACTTACTTGCATGGTATCTCAACTATATGTGAAGCAAATCATGAAAGTTCATTGACACCATTAGCAACAGAATTGCTTTCCACTCACCGATCTCTATAGATTGTAGATATACTATATGATATTATCTGTATTATAGATTTGCGTTTCCACCATGCTGCAAATCAGCATGCTGCTTCTAATGTCACAACTCTTATCATTTAAAATGATGAGTTTCTTACTTGTAAATATGACTTTGCTTGGTCATTCATGCTCTCGGAAACTCACGATATTTCGCCCTCTACTTTAAGGACACATACAACTTTTATTTTGCCTTTTTTAATAAAAACTTTAAAATGTCCTTAACATTTGGCAGCTTGATCATATAATAATTAAGCAACACATCAAGATTTCAATTAATTCGTCAAACTGGAAATGGAAGACAAAGTTGTGTGCAATGCATTGTGGGATCTGTATTCACTGTGAGTGCTTCATGCGCAAGGAACGTTCTGAAGAAATAGTATGCTAATGTGTTTTTGCAAACGTTGACCTTAGGTTAGTGCTATATTTCATTTTTGGCAGGAATGAAAATTAGGTTATGAGTGACTGAAGTACAGTGTGTTCAGTGTATTGTACTGTTGTTTAACAATACAAAGATTGTTCAGCTGATGAAATATTTTCTAAAGACTTTCAATAGACAAAATCTCCATAAAACAGTTTTGAAAGTTGTGAGTTGTGAACATTGCATTGTCTAGTACATGTATACAATGTGTGCCATTTTAAAGAATATCCTTAATAGTTTTGTTTTCATCCGTGTCAAATTGAATATGGTGTCTAAGATCTATACCTGAAATGTTTCTCTTCTACGGAACACAAACACAAAGGATTTTGTGGAATGTTGAACCCCATTGACTTCTATTGTGCGGCAAAACTATTTTCCAAAGAAGATTTAGAGTCATGCAGGTCTGGTTCAGTAAGAACATTTGGGATTTTTAAAGATTTAAACAACATCCATGTCGAAATCCACACCCATAGGAGCAAGTGTCCCATCTGGACCCAATCCCACCTGAGAGCAGATAAAAATAGTGCTTCAGTGACAGAGCATGCCTAAAATGCACCAGTTGTACATCAAAGCCACTGAGAGAGAGAACGAGTGAAGGAAGGATAGCACGAGGATCAGACACCGATCCTGCTTTCCACCGCAGGGGTCATCGTCTCTCACCTGAAGAAAAGATACGCTCAGCCAGATTGGTCACGTTGAAAGGACATGTTTCCAATTTGACTTATGCTACCCCTCCCTTGTCTGCAATCTCTCTTTTCTTCTCGTCGTCCCTCCCTCTTTTTTCCCTGTCTGTCTGAAGGCTCCATGTGTCTCACACCTGATTAATTCAGCTTTGGAGCGGCCGGCCAAATGCTGGGATCAATAAATCATTGCTCTATGCATCTGCAGGTAAATGAGAGGCACATTCTCAGCTAAAAATACAAGGATCCTCTCTAGCTCCGCTGCACACAGATGCTGTACATTAATGTCTTCCAGAGCACAGACTGATACTTTCAAGTGTCTACTTCCTCTGTCTCTTCCTCATTTGCAGAGGTCATATCCATTTGAGCTAAATAAAATCAGGCTATCTATAAAAGTATTTCACAAGTTCTAGCAAGAAACTAAATCAACTTGTTTGTTTTTGTCCAGTGCCGACCAGTGGACATATCAGTGGACATTACTGAAACTCTGGCATGTAAGTTTCTGCAAAGTCATCCTTTCAGTATCAAATGGTGATGTCCAGTTTGTGAACGAATCATTCTTTTGAACTGGTTCACTCAAATCAGACTGAATTAGAACAGTTTGTGACAGATCTTTTCTTCGTATTCGTACTGTTAGACATCTGAAAACGGAAAAAAAAAGTAGGGCGGGGCTTGGTTCAATGCACCAGTTTTTGATTAAATAATGAGATGTGGGCGTGGCACTCAAAAGGAGCATTTGCCGGGGCGGAGTTTAAGACAATAAATTGATTGGAGAATTCCGTCGCGCTCACTAGAAGATCTAGAAGATCTCAGAAGTTCACCGGAAGATGTGTAATGTTTGATTAAATGTTGCAAGGTCAAATAAAAAGTAAAAATGAAACATACGCACCAATGTATTTTCCACAATAAGATCTATAACATGCATTTAGAAAATAGATTTTAACGACTTTAATTGCTTACTCAATCCTTGAATTGGTTTCTCTGAAGTATCTGACAGCCAAAGAACTGAGTAAAATCCTAGAACTACTGATATGTACTTCTGTAAACACTTCTTTGCAATGAACTATTTCGATCAGTTAGCAAATTCATAAACAAATTAACAGTCAACTTAGTCAATGTTCCAGAGTCTGTGAATAGTGCAAGCAGTTACAGGCACATGCATGTCTGTGCTACACGAGCAAGTTGATGAAATATGCATCACACATACTGTGTTCTAGACATGCCAACAAATAGAAAAGTTAAACCATGCACACTTTCAGGTTTAGTGTAAATGATAAAGTCTATGTGTTTGTCTAACTCAAATACCAAGGCATGGCTTGCATTTGGTGTTTTTCTTTTAACCACAAAACTGTCCTCTGCTTTGTTTGTTTTTCTTTCTTTTTTTTTTTTTTTCGTATGTCAGATCAAAGAAGCATGTGGGCGTTTATTGGCAGCAGACTTGTTTTATACAAGATACCAGCACGTCTCTCATGCTGATTTCAGCATGTTCCAATACAACAATGAAAAACATCAAAACCACCATTTGAGAGGGATCGCGACTCACGGACTGTGTCCAAATCCTACATTTAGTCTATCCGAAGAGACTTACAGTGCATTCAATGCACATTTGAGTGCGTTCCCTGGGAGTCAAACACATGACCTAGTGTTTCGCTCTACCAGCTGAACTATGCTTTAGTCCCTTCTAACTGTGTTTAATGTGTGATGGCTTTCTGAGAAAGTTTGTGCTCCCGATAAAGTGGTTTCCTGTCGATGCTCCACTTCGCTCATGGAGATTGTGAAAGGTCAATGACAGCTGAAAGGGAAGGTGTCGACACAGAACCGGTTGACGGGCTCGGGTTCCTCCGGTCAGTGCAGACACCTGGCCTTCGGGTGCAGTCTTGGAGTATGTTGCGGCTGCAGAGTCAGTGACCTGAAACTCTCTCTATCTCTCTCCCTCTTTGCTGCCGCCTACTCATCTTGCACTAGTTCACAGTGTGGGGGAAGAAAAGGTGTTTTATCACAGTACAAGCTGCGGTTTGCAAGTCTGCAGTTTGTTAAACTTCACCACCCCATCTTTATCTCTCTGTCTTATATTTATTCCATGTTTGTCATCTTTGTCGAAAAGGGAAGATGCATTTTGACTAATAAGAAATCATAGTTATGTATTTTCAAAACCTATTATGTAAATTCACTAAAAATGCCCTAAACCCACTATTTTATCTTAAAAC